AGATCCACTGCTTGATCCACTGACTTCTTAGATTTCAATTTCTTTCTGATGACTTGGATAGGCTTGAATTTGAATAAGAATCACTTGATATGCCCATAGAGATAAGAATTGCATTTGGTCCCTTGTTGGATGGCTTGCCCATGCTATGCTATGCAGATGACTGAATTATGTACATGACCTAATATGCAAATGCTAATGCAATTGAAACATAAACCAAGTGAAATAAGTTGAGAAAATTTTAGGGTGCAACAATAGGCCAAGAAATGGTGTAAATTTGGAAACAACCTTTGAGCCAATTAGTTGGCCTAATCGATTAGGCAGTGCAAATAGTTGATTATTTATACCAAAATTGGAAGGTTTTGATGGAAAGTGGTTACAAATCATTAAGGGATGTCTGTAATTGATTATGGACTCGATTAAGCACCATCTAATCTACAGGCCATATAATCTAATCAATTAGATAGTTCAAAAAAATGTCCTAATCAAGCAGACAGTTCTATAAAAAACTGGCCAGACCTTGAAAACATTTTTTAGGTTGTTTTAGTCTAAAGGTGAGAGGTTTCTCTAAGTTTTAATTATATGGATGATTTAGCCATACTAATTATGGGAATACCCTTATGTCTTTAAAATATATTGTTCACTCAAACATACATGGCCAGATGAGCTTTCACATTTCCTATCTTTCACACTTTAAAGTTTTAAGTCTTAGCATTATCTATGAATTTTTTATCACACGAGAACTTTGAGTCTTATTGATGAGGCTTGAGATATTTATGTATTATTTTCTATCATATGAGATGTTTTAAATCACTAGCAATCATAAACCCTAATTCTTCACTTGAGCTCACTTTGGCTTGATTTTGAAGGATAAATTCGACTTGATCAACCACCTTGTGCTTTTTTGACCGTGAAGCTAGCGGGATTATACTTGAGTGAATCGCACACTCAAAGATACAACAGAGTCGCCACTGAATTTTATTTATTCCCGAAGGACAGGGAAAACATCGATAAAACCCAAGGGAAGAGAAACGGGAAAGGCGGTCGGTTATGCGAAAGGAAAGTACTAGCACCTTAAGCATCTGTCGTACCCGACAAAAACCATTTCGCTTGCTTCTAGACTTGGATGAGTTATCTATCTGAAGGCTTCTAGATAAAATAAAAGAAAAGAGAGAGAGAAAAAAAAGAATAAAGAGAAGGTATGTGCTCGCGGAGGATTAGGGTCATCATGCCTACGTACCCTCATAATGCAATAAGGAAGTCAACGCTCCGTAGTTCAAGCAACTAGGAAAAGAAAAGGATTTGGGCCTACAAGAGAGACAGAAGAATGGAAGAAGATGGAGGAAGGTGGCTCGCCAAAATTTCGCAATCTTGTGCCTACGCACCCTCATAGTGTAATGAGGAAATCAGAGCCTACGTAGTTCGGGGAACCAATGCTGAAAGAAGAAAAGGAAAACGAACAACATCAAAGCCAAGAGCGAAAAGAGGAAAGCAAGATCCAACTGGGGATGCAAGAAGAGTGATGTCAAAACCAAGTGTAAGTGCTCTTGATTGGCTGCATTTTGTGGCAAAACTTTAGAGGTTGCATGTATGTCATACTGAATGTTAGGACATACTTAATGATGTGTGTGCAGGGTAAGTTAACTATGAGTTAAGTTGAATGTCATGACACTAACCGTATGACATCCAGCGGGCAAGTTAGTTTTTCTGGTATCTAGAAATCAGGAATCAAATCAGAAGCTCAAGCTGAAAGATAGGAGACATTTAAGAAGCACTAAAGCGAAAAAAATGTTCCTAAATTAAAGGGCAAACGTGCAGAGAATTAAAGAGTATGGTTTATTATGATTAAACCTAACTATGCGCGCCAAGGCCCAAAGGACTGAATGCACTATAAATATCAGAAGGAGAAATCCTAGAAATCAAGCTCTTGACAGAAGATCAGAGAGTGCAGATTACAGAGTCCTTGTGAGTGAAGAAGGTTGTTCTTCACGTGAGTATTGTGAGTGAAGAAAGTGTGTTCTTCACGTGTGAATTGAGTCTTAGGAATACTTGTTTACCAAGCAACTGTCAGCTGCATTGGTTAGGTAGGTTCTAAGTTGTGTCTCACTCAAAGCTTTTAAGTAAGAGTGTGTGTGTCCCTTGATCAACGCTTTGAAGTAAGATCAAGGTGTGTATGAAGTGTGTCTTCATCTTTATTTTGAAACTGTAATTGGATATCATTGTGGTGTGATTGAGGGGGAGTGAGTGGGAATACTCAGGTCTAGAGTGTATCTAGGTTGAAGTGTCATTGGGTAGAGATTAAGTGAGAAGTGCAAACTAGTTGTTTGACTTTGAATTGATTCTACTAATAGTGAATTTCCTCCCTGGCTTGGTAGCCCCCAAATGTAGGTGTTGTTGACACTGAACTGGGTGAACAATTGCTGTGTTATTTACTGCTTTTACTTACAGTTTAATTAGTTAGTACAGTAGTCAATGTCACATTGGATGTTATAACTTTGGCAATAATATCCATCGTGTGCTTGCCAGAATTTCAATTGGCATCAGAGCAGGCACCCTGCCTGTTTATTCTGGGTGAGATCTAGGGAAATAAATTTCGGTACTATGGATAAAGATATAGGATTCACTAATAGACCTCTAATTCTGGATGGTTCTAATTATGATTATTGGAAACCTAGGATGATTGCATTCCTAAAATCATTAGACAACAAGGCTTGGAGAGCTGCAAACTCTGGCTAGAAACATCCTGTGAAGACTGACAAGGATGAAGTAGATGTGTTAATTCCTGAAGAGGAATGGAACAAAGAGCAAGAGACCTTAGCTCTTGGGAACTCTAAAGCATTGAATACACTCTTCAATGGTATAGACAAAAACATCTTTAGACTGGTACACCACTGTGAACTAGCAAAGGATGTTTGGGACACTCTCAGAACTACTCATGAGGGAACTTCCAAGGTCAAAATGTCAAGACTTCAAATGCTGACCACCAAATTTGAAGGTCTGAGAATGAAGGAAGATGAGACCATTCATGAGTTTTACATGAATGTTATTGAACTTGCAAACACCTCTGAAGCCTTGGGAGAAAAGATGGTTGAAAAGAAGCTTGTAAGGAAGATTCTCAGATCCTTACCTAAGAGGTTTGCCATGAAGGTCACAGCCATTGAAGAAGCTCAAGACATATGCAACATGGAAGTGGATGAACTCATAGGTTCTCTCCAAACATTTGAGATGGACATGTGTGAACAACCTGTAGAGAAAAGGAGCAAAAGCATAGCTCTTGTCTCACCTTGATCCTTCAAAAGTGACTGGCACACCTCTAATGCCCAAGTAAAATAGTCCTTATTTTCACACTCTAGAAATGAAAAACCAATAGAGCATGTCTTCTTAGTTGAGGTAACACCAACCATATCAAATAATGGAAGTCTATACTTATTGGTCTTGTAGGTAGAATAAAAAATGAGCACTGTCAGAAACGTGTTGAAAGACTTTACCGAATCAGAATGAGTCCAAAAAATATCTCTAACCGTAACTCCACCGTTGCAAGTTCGATACCAGGTCACGTGACTGTTATTGTCCAACAGTTTCAACAATTGTTGCATCTTAGTTCCATTCGTACTAATCGCATTGTTAGTGAGGTACTGAATGTTATACACTTGCTTTATATTTGATATATTATCAGATTGCTTCTGTTTCAATGTTGCAAGTATATTTTTCGGTTGAACAAGATTCAAGGTCATGTCACTAATACATTCTCTCTCTTCCGACTTGAGTCGACATACACTAGGATGACCAGCTAATTTTAAGTACAAATCATAGTTATGCAAGCCACAAATGATATTAAATCTTCATTTTTGTTAGTCAACATGTAACCACGGAGCTTAAACGAAAACTTGCATTTTCTACTATCCGTGTCGTCTCTTTTCAAACTTCGGATAAGAGTTCGATAGCTTCCACTTATTTTGCACAACATTGTCACAAACACACATCTTCTATCCGAGCCATTGTCCGACCTTCTGTTAACCACACCAAATCCAAGTCTTGATGCCACCATACAAATTCATTCGAGCATGTTATCACGATTTTCAAACTCTTTCTTGTTGTTAAAATCGTTGCCAATAACTACCGCCTTTACAACAATCCTTTGAACATTCGGAGAAACATCATTCAGAGAAACTACTTGTTTTGAGAAATTGTTGGGGTGCACCTTAGAATTAAATACAAGCTATACCAATAGTTAATCTACTGCTGTATAAAAGGCTAGGAACGAACACAAAATTATTTAGAAAATGTTCAACCTCAAAGACTTTCTGGAGATGTATCTCCAGACACTGCGTAGCTTTTTTCAGTCACATTTTTATGATTAATGTGAGCAATGTAGATGAAAATGAAAAATCTTTACCTGAAATTCTATCTTCTTTTCCTCCCTGTGATATGTTGAACCAAAATTATGGATATTTTGAGTGAAAAAATGGATTGAAAATGAATGATTTTAAGGTGAAGATTTGAGTTAAAAATGAAGTATGACAACAATTGGGGACTGATCATGTAGCTGGTAGCTATATCAGATATTTTCGAAGATACATCTCCGAAAAAACCTGACATAAAAAAATGACAGAAAATTTAAATGGCCGCCCATAAATTCCAAAAATATATTTTCGAAATATTAACTGAACTGAACAATTTATATGTTTAATCCACACGGTGCCTAAGAAATATATAGGGTGAAAAAAGAATTTCTCTTTCACTAAATTTCTGCAAATTAACCTAAGAGCCCAAGAACCCTGAGCTATCGGGCCTTATTTATAAATTGCGGCCCATCGAAACAACAGCAAATCCTCGGCAACAAGAAACCTCCCTCTGCTAAATTCTCCAAGGTCCCACGTTTTTTCTCTTTAGCAGTCACCCCCAAAACTCAATTCGCGAGTTTTTCACTTCTATTTCGTAGTTCAATCTCCTTTTAATTTCACGTTAACTCCACTTTAGGGTTTCCCACTCTTCCTTCTCCGATGGCTCCCGATGCTAATCGTGCCGGTACCGGCGCCAGCACCAGTGGAACCTCCAAAGACGAAGCAGCGGCAAAGAAGAAGATCGAGAGCGAAGATCTGGTAAGTTGAACAGTCTGGATTCGAATTTCGTTGTTGTTCCGTTACTCATTTTACGGTTCGTGTATCTATTAAGCTCGCTTGAGGTAAACAAATTCGATTGTTTGTGGTAATCCGTGCAGTCAGATGAGGATTTGGCTTTGAAGCAACAACTCGAGCTGTATGTTGAGCGGGTTCAGGATTCCGAGCCGGGATTGCAGAAGGTTGCACTAGAGAGCATGAGGTAAACCTAATTTCATAGTTGAGGGTTTACTTTAAATGATTAAGTGAACAAATTTTGATTCTGGTGGGAATCGGCTTATTTTTATTAAATTGTGTGTTTGTATGTTGAAATTGGAATCTATGGTTGTATTGTAGACAAGAAATTCGTACTTCAACTAGCTCCATGACCTCTGTTCCCAAGCCACTGAAGTTTCTGCGCCCTCATTATGGTACTCTTAAGGCATATTATGAAACTATGGCGGAATCAGAGTTGAAGGTATTGCTATTTGTGTGTTTTAGGAATGACTTTGGAGTAACAGTATGGTATTATGCTGCTTAACTGATTTTTATTTCCTTATTGCAGAAGTACTTGGCAGACATATTATCAGTTTTGGCCCTTACAATGTCTGCAGAAGGGGAGCGGGTGAGTTTGCTGTATTTAGAAACTGAATAATCTTTTAGGCTATTGCTTTAATTATGTTCAAGTTTGGGGGTACCTTCATAAAGACATTTTTTAATACTCAATTCTGATTTTCCCATGGTTCATTTTCCTGCATATTCTCTCTTTTTCCTTTCCCATTGCATCACCCATATTATGTTTTTTTTCCCTTTCTATCTCCCTCTTCTTTAAACCTCTAACACCCCACTGGATTCTTCTGGTAGCCATTCTTTTTCCTTTGAAACTATTCCACCACCGTTTTCATCTATCTGTTATATTGACTGTTTCCATTGAATCTGCCAGGAAAGTCTCAAATACAGATTACTAGGTTCAGAGGGAGATATTGGTTCATGGGGACATGAATATGTTAGGTGAGAATTATTTTATTCTTCTTTGTGCTGTGTCTGTGCTTTATACTGTGGAAGATGAATCGCCATTATAAACAATGGATCACTAGTTAAATTTTGGTGTAGTTTGACTGAAGAGTTGATTATATCATCAATCTCAATCTTATGTTTTCTTTTGATGTCAGAAATTTGGCTGGAGAAATTGCACAAGAATATGCAAAACGACAGGTTAGGCATCTAGCTAATTTACATGCCCTCGCTGCAGTATTTTCTGTACTTTTTTTAGTAATGTTAACTATTGTAAATTTAGTTCAGTGTTATGCTTATAAGTGACTGTTTTCTAATTTTGTATTGACAGAGTGAAGAGGCTCCAATTGATGATCTCATGGAACTTGTACAACAGATAGTTGCTTTTCACATGAAGGTATCATCTATAGCATTCATTTTACTAAATAATGTTAATAAATGGGATATTGACGCACCAAGATGTGTTACATGATGATTGCTAATAATAGTTTTTTGACCAATTTTAATTTTCTGCAGCATAATGCTGAACCAGAAGCTGTTGATCTTTTGATGGAGGTAATATCTCACATCCTTTTTTGGTCGTTCCAGAACTATTCAGATAGTGAACTGAATGACATTTTCATGTAATAAATGTTCATTGTTAGGTTGAAGATCTAGATATGTTGATCGAGCATGTTGACAAAACAAATTTTAGAAGGACTTGCCTGTATCTCACAAGTTCAGCTAGGTAAGTCAGACCTCATGTTATATTTTAAGGGATTCAATAAACTCAGAACAGTTATGAAGAAAGAGAAAATAATAATATATCATTAAGATTGAACTTTTGTGTCTTGTGGTTCAAATATTTTTTGTTTCACAAACTCAAACACCCATTTCTTTGATTTCTCTTATGTATGGTAATATCTATCTAGTTCTATGCCAATTTCTATATTTTTTTGAATTGTCATTATTTACTTGTTAAGTGATGTCATTGCTTATCATCCCGGACACAACAAAGTGATAGTGATTTGGTGCTTAAGAAATGGGAATTATTGTTAGCTTTACTGATACTTGGACCATTTAATACTGTTCTGGGTGTCGGTGAGTATCCAACTGTTTAAGTCATAGGGTTTTAGTGAGAGAAAGGATGGAGATTTCAAAATATGATTAAGGCTGTGATGATCTGTTGGTGCTGAAAGGTTAAGCACTAATCCCTATTGTAGGGACACAAGATTCCTAATCCTAGTTGAGTAGGGAAGTTAATCAAGATAATAACCAGTAATAAAAACCTATTTCTATTCTATGAGATAATTCAAGACACTCAGATACAAATGGTATAATGGTAAGGTATTTTCAGATATAATAACACTATGGATTGGAAGTTATTTGTTCATGTGACAGAATATACCGAAATGGCATATGTTTCTGTAGTCATTGCCTTGACTCTGAAGATAATTAATTTTGTATTGGAAATCATTTAAAAAGTGGTTATATATTAAATGGTTGTTATTAATAAAGGTTTATTAGATGGAGTTTTGCATGCAACTGGGGAGGATAGTTTAAAGTTTTGTTTGATATACAGCCACTGGCTTGGCTCTGGATCTATTTTGAGTTGTAGCGTCAATTTGCATGACAACAAGGTCTTGCTTGTTTCTTTTTTTATTGGATAAAATGAATTAGCAATTTTTAAAAAATAATTTTACAGGTATCTTCCTGGACCAGATGATATGCTAGTTTTGGACATTGCATATTTAATCTATCTAAAGTTTGAAGAATATCCAAATGCACTCCAAATCGCATTGTTCCTGGATAACCTGCAGGTGTGATGCTGGAATTCTTTAATTATTGTGATTGATTTTCTCTTTATGGATTATCCATATACTATAAACTGTAAAGAACTGATTTCTAAAATGCGTTCCTTTAAAGCTTTTGTGGTTTGAGACTAACTAGTTGATGTGTTAACAGTATGTGAGGCAGGTGTTCACCTCTTGTGCTGATGTGCTACGAAAGAAGCAGTTTTGTTATATACTTGCACGCCATGTAAGTCCTCGATTATGTATTGGTATTTGAACATTTTTTAGCCGGAGTTTGCTTGCCTGTGATAACATATGTAACTGTTGCATGTCAGTTATGTAATTAATATGCTCAACTTTAACTATATGTTAGCAATGGCAAAGCTAATGGGTGTCAGAGACTGAAATTTCTACTTTAAATTATATTTGAGACTCATTTTTGACGGTTTTTGTGATACATTCAGGGAATTACTTTTGAGCTTGACGAGGAAATGGTTAATGATGACGAAGACCGAGAAGTGTTGCAGGATATCATAAACAATTCTAAGTTAAGTGAAGGATATCTGACTCTTGCTCGTGATATTGAAGTCATGGAGCCCAAGTCCCCTGAAGATATATACAAGGTGTGTTTCTGTTGTTAAATTTACTCTTAATGTAATGAACACTTGACTACATACCTATGACTCCCCGTTTGTGTGAAGTTTTTACATTTAATGCTCTGAGAATTAAGTTTTTATTAATTAAAATATGGTTCAATTTGATCAAAGGAAACTGAGTGGTTGCGTTCAAGTATATTTAACGAGTTTCAGTTGAGATCGAATTATAAGGAGTACCTGAGTTTGATCCTTGGCTAGAACAAGTATTGGGCAGAATTTACTTACCTACCAATGAACTCTGGATTTCTAGAGTTATTTTTCCCCTGAACCTCGTTTTTTATTTGGTATGCATGTATTAGTTTTGCGGACTGCATATGGCTGCATGTCATTTCTAAGAGTTTCTATTAAAAGTTGCATGTGATTTAGGACCCAGTTGACTCTGATTTGTTATGTGTTTGTTGAATTTAGTACCCGTTTGCTTAAGCCAAAATGGCTTTTTTTTTGTTAAAGAACTATATAACTATTATAAGACATCCATAAATTAAAGTATAAGCATAAACAGACATGCTTGCCACAGAACTGCTTTTATTTCATTTTTAATTGGCTTGCCAGTTAATACTAAATTGCCTTATTCATTACGTACAATTTTTCACAAAATGAACCTTTATTTATTAATCATAAATGAAATAATACTTTTTGATGTAATTGATTCTCTTATTAAAATTTGTTGCTTTGCTATAAGATAGCCTAGATTAACAAATGGAAGAGTTTATACTTATGTTCTTGTCAGAATTGATGCAAATACCATTATTTGAAATTTAAAGCATCGGGTTTTTGTTTCTACTTTCTGTATTATTGTTTTTCCTTGTTGGGATTTTAAGTTTGGTTAATTATTTGTAGAGGCATGCATCCTCTCCTTACTAAAGCAGTCCTGCTTTTCCTAGCATATTGCCTTTTATTAATTGCAGATGTATATACTTAATTTACAACTTTATACAACCTGCCACACGAAGCTTGTGTAGAGGCTGGAATTTAATCTATGGTTGTGCTCATGTTCAATGGTATCAGAAAAACATTGTTTTTAGCTATGCTGTTTTTGTCTCTAGTGTGTCGCATTGTTTTACCTTGCTGTTGTTGCAATGTGTCACATTGTTGATTTGCTGTTATCCTCACGTTTTATTCTGAATTGTTTTCTCCTAGGCACATTTGCTTGATGGCCGTGCAAGTGCTGGTGCGAGTGTTGACTCAGCTAGACAGAACCTTGCTGCTACTTTTGTTAATGCATTTGTTAATGCTGGGTTTGGTCAGGTACAGTAACCCTTTATATTTCAAGATAATCTATGTTGCATATGTTGTGATTCGATATTTGTATTTATGTTGTCCTTCCATTTCATTATTGTTGTGCAGGATAAGTTAATGACTGTTGCATCAGATTCTTCAAGTAGTGGTTCTTCTGGAAATTGGCTTTTCAAAAACAAGGAACATGGGAAAACTAGTGCTGCAGCAAGTCTGGTATGAGTTTCTTACTGAATCATCATTATTCTTTTAATTTCTTATTTATGGATCTCGTTAATTTCATTTTCTATGCCTATATTGTCCCTTGTATTGTAACAGGGTATGATTTTACTCTGGGATGTTGACTCTGGACTTGCACAACTTGACAAATACTTCCATAGTAATGATAACCATGTCATTGCTGGTGCATTACTAGGAGTTGGAATTGTCAATTGTAGTATCAAGAATGACTGTGATCCTGTGAGCTCCTTTTTTTTATTCCTTTTCTCAGAGTGATATGTATATTTTAATTTTCTGTATTTGACCTAATTTGGTTTCTTGTTAGGCAATGGCACTCCTTGGTGATTATATAGATAAAGAAGATAGTTCGACCAGAATTGGTGCAATTATGGGATTAGGAATTGCATATGCAGGTTCCCAGAATGAGCAGGTGAGTAGTTTCTTTCAGTAATACTCCTTGTTGAGATGCGCGCTGCTTTTTATTTGCGAATATAATTCGACTGATTGTTTCTTTCAGTTACGATACAAGTTGGCACCTATTCTGAGTGATCCTAAAGCTTCACTTGATGTGATCGCTTTCACGGCAATTGCATTGGGCTTGATCTACGTGGGTTCTTGCAACGAGGAAGTTGCTCAAGCAATCATATTTACGTTGATGGACCGTAGTGAGTCAGAGTTAGGAGAGCCCCTTACACGACTACTACCACTCGGCCTTGGTCTTCTTTATCTTGGGAAGCAGGTATTTACTTGATTGACAGTTTCAACTGCCTCTTTTGTTGTCCTTTTGTCTTTTCAGTTCATTTAAAAGGGAACCTTGGTTCTTCAAAACTCTCACCATGCAAGGTCCCAAGTCAAAGTTGGACCTTGAGATGCATTATAGAATTCCTTATCTACATATGCAAAGCATTTGTAATCTTATTTATTTAGTTTCTGAGAACGTTGAATAGTTAGGAGGGGTTTTTCTATTAGGTCGGGTCAAAGTCACTCATGTAATATTTACTCCATATTGTGCTCTGTAACAACAGGAAAGTGTGGAGGCAACGGCTGAAGTTTCAAAGACTTTTAATGAAAAAATTAGAAAGTATTGTGACATGACACTACTGTCATGTGCCTATGCTGGAACCGGGAATGTTCTCAAGGTACACTCTTATAATATACGTTGCCTTTTAATGAAAAATTTCTGCTGCAGATTTTAATGTTTATAGTTGCCGGTGCTTATTTCATGCAGGTGCAAAATCTTTTGGGTCATTGTTCACAGCATCTTGACAAAGGTGAAATGCACCAAGGTCCGGCAGTTCTTGGAATTGCTATGGTAGCAATGGCTGAAGAATTAGGTGTTGAGATGGCTATTCGATCGTTAGAACACCTTCTACAGTATGGAGAGCAGAATATTCGCCGAGCAGTTCCTCTGGCACTTGGTCTGTTGTGCATATCAAATCCAAAGGTAAAATAGATTTGCCTACCTACTATGTATCATCACCTTAGTATCATTATTTATCAGTGTCGAACACATTATGACCATGTTCTGAAAAGATGACAGATGGTAAACATCTGTAGCAATCTCGAGCAAGGTTTCATGTTTGTTTACTTTGCTGATTGCTAACTCTTTTATTGATTGTCACAGGTCAATGTTATGGATACCTTGAGCAGACTTAGCCATGATACTGATTCAGAAGTAGCAATGGTAAGATGGTAAAGCCTCTTGAATCATTGCTGTCTATGATATGATTCCTATTTTTTATGAAATTTTTTTGCATGCTACAGGCAGCTGTTATCTCCTTGGGTTTAATAGGCGCTGGAACAAACAATGCTCGAATTGCTGGCATGCTACGCAATCTTTCAAGCTATTACTACAAGGATACCAGCCTTCTATTTTGTGTATGTTTCATCTATAAGCTGGCTGTCCCTGTTTTCTAATTCCGGTTGTTTCAATGATCTCTGATT